TTATCTTGTAAAATATTGCTTCTGTCCATTTCTCTCTCTGCAGTCTCAGGGACTCCAGTATGTTAATTCTTTCACAAAATCCTGTCTCTTACTCTCTTGTCTGTCTTTTTCAAACTTTTTGCTCTCCATATTTCTGTCTGATAATTTCTATTTGTTTGTCTTCTTACTCACTAATCTTCTCTTCACCTCTGGCAAATATGTTGCTAAACACATCTATTAAGAAGATGTGTTATTTATTGTGCCTTTTTTTTTTTGAGACAGAGTCTCTCTTTGTCACCTAGGCTGGAGTTCAGTGGTGCAATCTCAGCTCACTGCAACCTCTGCCTTCCCAGTTCAAGTGATTCTTCTGCCTCAGCCTCCTGAGTAGCTAGGATTACAGGCGTGTACCACCATGCCTGGCTACTTTTTGTATTTTTAGTAGAGAAAGGGTTTCACCATGTTGGTCAGGCTGGTCTCGAACTCCTGACCTCGTGATCCACCCACCTCGGCCTCCCAAAGTGCTGGGATTATAGGCATGAGCCACCGCACCCAGCCTTGTTGTTGAATTTTTATTTAATTCTTTTTTATAGATTCCAGTTCTCTGGTGAAATTCTCCATCTTGTCATCTTTTTTTCTTGGACAAAAAAGCACAGTTATTTTCAAAACATATATTTGGTAACTCTAATATCTGGGTTACCTGTGGGCCTATTTCTATTGTGTTTTTTTTTTCTCTCTCTCAGTTGCAGTTTTTGGAATTTCTGATAATTTCTACTTGAATGTTGAGCAATGTATGTAAATAATTGTAGTCTCTGGATGATGTTATCTTTTTCTCAAGAAGTGTTATCTTTTCCGGCAAGCAGCTGGAGTGGGAGATTATATCCATTCAGTCTGGGACTTAGCTTACTGGATTGGATTGGAATTTTTGTAAATCATAGTTTACCTCACATTTTTCTCCTCTTCTAGAGTGTAGCTTGTCAGGGGGCAAGATGATAGCCTTTGGTTATTTACTGGTACTCCCTTCTTGGTGGGTCCAAAACTTGTGACTGCCAGAAATTTGACTTTTCTTTATAGCTATACTCTCATTTTTATAGAGCCTTAAGCTCTATGAAACTAGCAAACATAAAATTATAAAAATGTAACAGTATATTATAATATAAATATAATAATATATTATGTATAATAATATAAACGTAAATATTATATAAAATCATCAAATCTCCATAAGGTAAAATCAAATGCTGAGTTTGGGGCTAAGCTCCATGTACCTCCCTTTTCCCAAGTATCCTGTCACTCACGCCCTGGTTATTCTGGCAGCTCTGAACTCCCATTAAGAGCTTTCCTCATCATATTTAGTATTTAACATTAACAGTGTATGGGAGAAGTTCATATAAAATACCAAAAACTGAATAAACATACCTAGTCAGGCATTCTTGCTCTCTGTGTCACAAACAGGAATGACTTCATGTAGGAATGTTCTTTACCCTAAGCTTGCATGTGAGGAAGACGGTTTCCTCTTTTTAGGAGGCCTGTCCCTCTGTGAAGCTGTGCCTTATCCTCTAAGAATGCTCCTGTCATTGTTAGGACGGTATACATAAACAGTTTGGCAAATATCTGTACAAGATGAAGGAATGAACATTGCTTTTGTTTTCCACCTTTTTGTGAGACAGGACGTAACCAGAATAGACATGATGATATTCACTAAAATTTACTAAAGACTTACTGTGGAGCAGGCTCTGTGTTAGATGCTTCGTACTGATTATCTCATTTAATCCTAAACAGAGCCTATGAGGTAATAAAGATAGTTATTCCCATTTCATATTTGATGAAACTGGGGCTTAAAGAGATGAAGTTAATTTAAACAGGGCCCAAGAGCCAGGAAGTAAATGGCACAAACAAGTTTGAACTCAGATTTTTCTAATCTTCGAGATCCATGTTTTTTTCCCAACATTTCATTCTGCTACCTGGCCTGCCCTTTTTCAACATAACTAGTATCATGATTTCACTGACCCCTGGACTCCTGATATGTCTTCTTATATAAAGTCAGAGCTAAGTAGTCTGAGGGATTTACATGCAAAGACATCCCCTTTCTGGTACATTGCTTTCAGGTATTTCCAGATTCTTCCCTCCCCGACCCAGCCTTTGAAATATGTATCACATTAAATGCCTCCATTTATAACTACTATGGCAAGTCTGAATGTATTTTTTTTTTTCAAAAATACAGCTTTATGCAGAGACAGGAAGCAGTTAGTGGTAGGGCTTTATTTTGGGAGGATTAGAGTGGTAGGGGGTGGGGCATGGGGAGAAATTGCTTTCTGCAGTGTCAGATGAATGAGTTATAGGAAATGATAGCTCAGCCAGCAGCTTGGTGCTTGCTAGTGAGTCAGCAGTGATTCCATCCTCAGCCCCAGTGCTGGGATCACAGCTGAGAGACACTCTTCCTGTTGAGGGCTCTTCCCCGCCCACTGTCTGGGACATGGAGGCTCTGCTTACCTGATGTGAGCCATTCAGTTACCTGTCACGGAGGAGAAGGAGACACAGAACAATCTTTTTGTTTCAATGCAGATGTTTCTACACGTCTTTGGGATTAATTGGTAGTAATCACAGAAAGATTCAGTGACTTTCCATCTAGAGAATGATGATGTTTGGGACCGGTGTCAAAGCAGAAGCTAGTTCTTAGGGCAACATTTTATACTTTTATACTACTTCAACTTTAGAAGGTATTTATAAATGATCAAAACAGTATGGAAAAGCAAGACAGGAAGACACTCCTTCAGAAAAAGGGGTAAACAAGGAAAAACCATCTTGTCAGGACAATGGAAACCATGTAGAGGTAGTAAAAAACTAGAACCAAATCATTGTGGTTGTTGGGGTAGGATAGTAGGATTATCGGTGATTGCTTTTTTGTTTTGTTTTATTACTTTATTTTCCAGGTCCAATACATAGGCACATGTTGTAAAATTTATTCTATAAGTAGTCCTTTAGTGTTTTAAAATAACTAGTTGTGAAAAATAACTGGCCAAATAACTGTAATATTTTAGGATATCTTTTCCCCAAGCCCTGATGAGACTCTTAAAGTCAATCTAGTCATACCCAGGATTTTCTAGTAGGAAATGGGTAGAGAGGTCTAACTTTTCTCAGAATTTCCTATGTGCCAGGCATTAGCTTCCTTTTCACTCTAAGAAGGTGCTATTATCCATATTTTACAGATCAAGAAACTAATGCTCAAAGAGATTGAAGGAACGTTCCCAGGCCAATTGTTAATATGTGGTATAATTTCATCCATGCCCAAGTCCTACTGACTCCAAAGTCCACACTCTTTTAACTTTAGTACAAAATGATGCCACCACAGTTTCCATTCCACCTGCTTTTTGTAAGGCAGTTTAAATGTGTTAACGTACTGCTGGATTGATCATCCACAAAAAAAAAACTGTTGGAATATATTATTCTCTTTCTGAAAAACTGGGACTCTAAAATTCACATATACTTGATTTGTACTTTAGTTAGAGAAATATTTAGAGCATTGGATAGCATGCATATCTGTGTGCTTCACCTGAAGTCCATAAAAAAGGCACAGTAAGTACCTGATTTAGTGGTTGGACTCCCCTGGAATTTGCAGTGACTCTCATGATCTCTCCTAAAGTTCTTAGATACGTAAGACTGATGATAAAGTAAATGTTTTGTTGTTCAGAACAGTAGCTGGAAGTGACAGTTTTGGTTGAGGGAGGGATGTTATTGTTGCAAAGTAGAACACTTACAGCTTCACAAAAATATCCATCTCATTGGCCCAACAGGGCCCTCATTTATCTTTTTGATAAGCTAATAACATTTAAAGATCTCTTAAATTTTTTGCTGTTATTATAATGCAATTAATGCTGTGTTTTGATGGCTTTATTGAGGTATTGATATATAACAAATTGCACGTATTTAATGTACAATTTGATTAAATTTAACACCTATGAAACATCACTTCAATAAAAATGATGAATATATCCATTTTCCCAAACAGGTTTTTGTAATGCTGTATTTTTGAAGGAAAAAAAATTCAGTCATTTATGTTCCCCTTTCCATTTGGTGAAAATGAGCCTGGACAGGGACCCAGATTATGTGAGTCTGGACTCCAATCTTGCCTTAACTAGCTCCACACAATTCAGTGAGCCCTTTAATTATTTTTGGCCCTTGGATTTTCATCTGAAAAATGAGGGGGTTGGACTAGATGGTCCCTAAGGACCCCTACAGCTCTGAAGTTCAATAAAGCTAAAAGGACTGGTGTACTTAGGGTATTGGTTTGTGTCCAAATGGTTTTATGTAAAAACGTGGACTTCCCTAGTGCCCTGGTGTCAGCTGTGCCACTTCATCCCTGCCTTGCTTTGCTTGATTGGCTATCATGGAATCATTGTATTTTTTTCAATTCCCTTTCACCCTGATTCAGGGTCATTCATGTCATTGTCTCCATGTTGGTCTTGCTAAGCATAGGGAAATACTCGACTTAAGAATTTAGGCCTAATGCTTGGGTAATGCTGGGAATTTGGCAACACCATAAGCAAAGAGCTGAGGAGGGATTATGACAGGATCATCAGCCCTCTGGCTATTTTTGAGGCAGCTTGAGCATTTTATGGGGGGCAGAGACAAGCTGTATTAGATATATTTCAGGACTGGGGGAAGGGAAGAGGATTGGAATTTAATTAAAATTCTGATCCCAACTTTGCCCATCTTCTTGCCAAGTCAGCAGCTAGCATTTCTGTTCATGGTTCTGGTGACTCTGCTGTGATGACATACGATTACCTCCAAAATTCTTGTGAATTTGCTGAAAACTTCAATATGCTCAACCAGATGCTTTAATCAGGACTGGCATGCTGTCATCTTTTGCCTGTGTTTTTGGCGATACCTGATCTACCACTGCCAGCATTCCTGGTGGGAGAGGGGATTTGGAGGGAGCTGATGGTGAAAACTGAGCTGATGACAAACAAGAAACCTATTTCATTGCAGCATAGCGATCTTTCCAAATTGCTTCTGTTTTCCAGGTAGCTCAGTGGCGTTTCTGAGCAGGGGCTACCCTGACTTCACCTTGGCCCACCATGAGGGTCTTCCTGCTTTGTGCCTACATACTGCTGCTGATGGTTTCCCAGTTGAGGGCAGTCAGCTTTCCTGAAGATGATGAACCCCTTAATACTGTCGATTATCACTGTAAGTCGTCTCAAGAACAGTCTTCTATTCTGAGAAGGAAGCTTTTCTGTTTTTCATTTTCTAAGCATGTTCATTTTCAGAAAGAGGCAGAGATTTTTTATGTCTTAAACATGAATTTGCATCTGAATTTATCAGTAATCATGTCCTAGTGTTTGGAGAAAACAGGACAGTTTTGTTGGGTGCTTTTCTACAGCAACCCGTATATAGGTTATATATGTTGAGTTAAAAGAAAAAGACCATTTGCTGACATTCACTGCCTTTTATTCATTTATATTCAAGACCTTAAGAGAGGAATTTAGTTAAAACCCTTCTACAACAAGTATATACGGCTAATCAATGCTGTTTATTGATCCCTCAGCTCCATAATCCTGAATGATGGTTTAGCCCATTTTTACTTGCAGATTCAAGGCAATATCCGGTTTTTAGAGGACGCCCTTCAGGCAATGAATCGCAGCACAGGCTGGACTTTCAGCTGATGTTGAAAATTCGAGACACACTTTATATTGCTGGCAGGTAATTTTCCTCTCATTGGTTTATTAGATTAAAATTCTTTTCTCTAGTGGTGCTTGCATTAATGTGTCTAGTTCATGAAAAACTAATATGTGATTGTGATCAAAAATTGCAAGTAGCCAGAAATATTCACTGAGAAGAGTCAGTGTTGTGTACCAGGAACAAAATACAAAGCTCAAGCCTTCAGCGGTGCTATTTTATTACTGCCATCAAGAAATCATACACCATTCTTTTTTCCTAAAGCAGCAGGGAAAAAAAAAAAACCTTTCTTTATGCGTTTTTAACTTAGAATTATTCAAGCAAATATCAGAAATATGTCTATGCTAATACCAAGTAGCAGTTTGACCCATGCCTGGAGAGAAGAGCTTTCTTTGCTCTCTGACTACAGTGATGTATAAAAGCATCTCACTAATGAAAAAGTACTCTTTGTTGACTTTGTTTGAGACAGAGAAAATCCAGATGATCTCTAAAACACAATAAAGGCAGATCTGTAAAAATAAAATAAGAAGCAGCTTAACATTTTTATGTACTCACATGATATGTTTTATTGCCTTATTTCCAATAGGGATCAAGTTTATACAGTAAACTTAAATGAAATGCCCAAAACAGAAGTAATACCAAGCAAGGTGAGCAACTGTAGTTGGCAAATTTATTTACATTCCCTCTGAACCTGATTAATTTTTCCACTCCCTCCCCCGAAAATGTTCCCATTTAAAAACTGAACTTTGATTTTGCTTGATTAATACAGAAACTGACATGGCGATCAAGACAACAGGATCGAGAAAACTGTGCGATGAAAGGCAAGCATAAAGTGAGTTAAACAGACAAATGTTTGCTAGATTTAGTCTTTCTGTGGGCTTGATACCACAGTGCCAGCACGTTTGAATGTCTGATATTAATGTTACTACTACTTTCTTTAGGATGAATGCCACAACTTTATCAAAGTATTTGTTCCAAGAAACGATGAGATGGTTTTTGTTTGTGGTACCAATGCATTCAATCCCATGTGTAGATACTACAGGGTAAGTATACTTTATGCGATGTGCTTCTTTTGATCAACTTTTCTCCCTTCACTAGTATGCTGTTAGAGTTGAAACCTTTCTGCTTTCCAGTAATTTGTTTTATCTCTAGTGCTATGAAAGAATAAAGACAGAATTCTTCAAATGGAATTTTAATACAAATAAAACAGTATTGCCTTCAGACAGGCACACTGAATAGATATGACACTGGCTATTTATTTTTCTTTTGTAGTTGAGTACCTTAGAATATGATGGGGAAGAAATTAGTGGCCTGGCAAGATGCCCATTTGATGCCAGACAAACCAATGTTGCCCTCTTTGCTGGTAAGATCCTCTAGCCTAATGAATATAAATGATTAATGACATTGAAGGCAAAAAAGGAATGTAATGGAAGAGTAAAAGTTAATAACTTGGATACCCACCTTGATCTAAGTGTTTGAAAGGCTAAAATCTATGCACAAATTTCCAGAAAAAAAGAAGAAATTAAGGACAAGGATATTTCAGTGCACACTATAAGTATTATGACACCCTGTTGTTAACTAGGCCAGTGACTCCAGATAAGTTGCTTAACTTTTTGATGCCTAGATCCTTCATCTGTAAAATTAGATAATCCCATGGCTGACCTGTCACACATTGATGTGAGTATCAGGTGCAGCCCTATTTGTATAGATAATGGTAATACCGGTGAGAGCACTGCAAAGGGCATAGCACGCTACTGAAGCAAACACACTGCAGGATAATTATGGTTATCTTACCAAAATTATAACTTTGGTTTCAGATGGGAAGCTGTATTCTGCCACAGTGGCTGACTTCTTGGCCAGTGATGCCGTTATTTATCGAAGCATGGGTGATGGATCTGCCCTCCGCACAATAAAATATGATTCCAAATGGATAAAAGGTACCTTTGAAGAGCAGTGTCGTGGGGTCACCAGGAGAGTGGATGGCCCAAGTGGGGACAGCAGCCACAGCCATCGAGAGGTTCAGCACATGACTTTATATTGTTTATTTAGAACACGTAAACACTGCTTTGGTTGTGAACAGGAGCATTGACAGGGAATGAGGAGACTAGTAGCCACCTCAGGAGAGTAAGTTCATCCAGGTGTTTATCCCAGGTGACCTCAAAAAAAAAGCAGGGGCAGATTTCATCTCTGTGTGTACCAATTTGTCTGACCTTCTAAATGCACATAATACTATTTGCCATTTACCCATCTTGGAAAGTTAACAGAGGGAATCGATTAGTCCGTATGAGAGCCATTTTGTTCTTCAGAGTCTAGAAATCAAGATTTTTTATTTTCAGTGTAAGAGGTTTTCTTCCCTAGTTAAATAGGTTAATGAATAAATCTGTTGAAACAAAGACCTTTGCTATAGTTCAGTTCCCTGTAGGTCTTTTTACAGTCCATTAGCTGACTTTAGAGACGACGGGTTCCCTGAAGCTTGAACACACCCATATTGGGACTCCTCAAAATCATTGGCAGATTGGAGTTCTTGTTGGCTTGAATGTAACTGTGCAACATCTGTCAGTCATGCCTTGCAGTCGGGGTCTTATGCTAATTGAATTATCCTTTAGGAACCAGTTTGTTTTTAATTTTTCTTTCAGAGCCACACTTTCTTCATGCCATAGAATACGGAAACTATGTCTATTTCTTCTTTCGAGAAATTGCTGTCGAACATAATAATTTAGGCAAGGCAAGTGTATGCATTTGGCTTGAATCGTGGACTTGTACTGCATGAAATTGAGACCACTGTGATAGAGTTAAGGATGCTCCCTTGGCATGTTTTCCAGCTCTCAATTCAGTGTACATAGGGCCAACTGCAGAGAGGTGGGTTGCTTGTCATGAGAATAATTGCTGGAAAACATCCGAACAATAACCTGAGTGGGAACACCAGCCTTGAGTTTTGAGAAGATTTCCTTTTTTTTCCTGCAGCCACAGAGAGTGTTCTACAGGTACCCTTGAGCTATGGATGCTTTTTTTTTTACTCTTTAGAAAATCATTCATAGTCTCTTCTTTCTCAGTGTCAAAAGGCAGAATAGAAAGTAGGGACCCCATTCAATTTTTAGTGTTTCAGTGAAGGCCCATGTGATTTTAAAGTATTGCAACCCCTTCTATGCCAGGTTGAAAGACGACACGTTTCATTAACAATACAGGAAGCAGAGTTGGAGACCAAGTGCTGGAATGGTTTTCATTCAGCAAGGCAGATAGACAGCTCACTCCTTGGGGAGGATGTTTAGCAAAACAGTGGCTCTTTTTTTTTTCCATAGGTGAATCCAGTTTACCTTCTTACTGGACAGACCCCTAGAGAGAAGACTGCTAGATTCTTTTGAACCAGATGTATCTTTAGCATTTTTGTCCCTCCCTTAAATAGCATCATTTTGTTTCCATTCCTTTCCATGCTCACAACCCCATCGCTTTGCTTCTGTCTGTTGGGCAGGCTGTGTATTCCCGCGTGGCCCGCATCTGTAAAAACGACATGGGTGGCTCCCAGCGGGTCCTGGAGAAACACTGGACTTCATTTCTGAAGGCTCGGCTGAACTGTTCTGTCCCTGGAGATTCGTTTTTCTACTTTGATGTTCTGCAGTCTATTACAGACATAATACAAATCAATGGCATCCCCACTGTGGTCGGGGTGTTTACCACACAGCTCAACAGGTGAGCGCAGGACCCCGGCACTGCACAGATGTTCTGTACATGCCTGTCAGAACCAAGACAGGCTCCGTGTCGCCAGCCTCTTCCTGATGGTTTTCTTCCTTTTCAGCATCCCTGGTTCCGCTGTCTGTGCATTTAGCATGGATGACATTGAAAAAGTATTCAAAGGACGGTTTAAGGAACAGAAAACTCCAGATTCTGTTTGGACAGCAGTTCCCGAAGACAAAGTCCCAAAGCCAAGGTAAATAAAAAAGTCGAAAAGGGTTTTGTCTTGAACAAAACCCTCCAGTCACTGGAAGAAGCCCTCCTCAGGGAGCAGCTTGGCCAACCTCCCACACCAGGAAGGGGTTTGTCTCTCTGCAGCATCTCAGACGGAGCCAGCAGACATAGCCTTGTGACCTGCAAGCTCATGAGTGTGAATGGAGAGCCCGTTGAGTTCAGGGGCATAGCATTGCTCCTTTAGTTTCACTCACTCTCCTTCCTCCCTTGACCTCTTCTCTGAGAATATGCACTTATTCCTTAGATACAGTACATGGTGTGGCAGGGGCAGCCAAGAGCATAAAAGAACGCTGTTTTCCTTTCAGACCTGGCTGTTGTGCAAAACACGGCCTCGCTGAAGCTTATAAAACCTCCATCGATTTCCCGGATGAAACCCTGTCATTCATCAAATCTCATCCTCTGATGGACTCTGCTGTTCCACCCATTGCCGATGAGCCCTGGTTCACAAAGACTCGGGTCAGGTGAGATCGTATGGGAAACACTCCTTCCTATCCAACGTTTTCTCTGCCCGTTGGCCTCCCCTTCTGATCTGTGCTGCCGCCTCTCGTAGGTACAGACTGACAGCCATCGCAGTGGACCATTCTGCCGGACCCTACCAGAACTACACAGTCATCTTTGTTGGCTCTGAAGCTGGCGTGGTACTTAAAGTTCTGGCAAAGACCAGTCCTTTCTCTTTGAACGACAGCGTGTTACTCGAAGAGATTGAAGCCTACAACCATGCAAAGTAGGTGTATGTTACGAGAATGCCCTTCAGTACTGCTCAAAAATTTCCGGCGTGTATTTCATCTAGTCGTGTCCTTTTGGCCCTCTAAATTAGCCGTGGTTTGGCATAATAGTGTTTTGTGTTTTTTTCTCATTGAAATAAATCTTGGGTTTGTTTTTTTCCCGAGCCTACTAGGGCAAGGAGGGTGAACGGTTGATGAGTTTAAAAATCATTCAGCCCTTGTTTTTCACCTGTAGACTATGAGAACATTTTAACAGCACCTCTCTTATCTTGCAGATATATTCCAAGATGCTACATGCAGCAGACAGTTGTGAGCTTGCATACACACACACACACACACACACAAATATACACGCACATACATACACAGAATGTAATACTAGTTAAGCATTTCCTTCCTATCATTAATATGTAAGAGAATATTTAGACCATTTTTAAAAAAACAAGAAATAAAAGAGAGAAATGGAGCAAAGGGGACTAAGGAGAGAACCAGAACCATCTAACACAGGAAAATTTAAATGCATTAAAACACGATCCTTTTTATTTCTATAGTCAAATGTGGCCTTCACAAATGCAATTCATTTCTATCATCATAACAGGAAAGCAATCTTTAAAAACCCTTTGTCCAGCCTGAAATTTAACCAACCGTGCAGAGAAGTAGAAGATGAATCACGTAATTATTATTTCCCAAACTATGTACTTGCCTGGTTTGTTACCAAGAATATTCCTTATGATTTCCCAGCTCTCAGTAATTGCTAAACCAAACCACACTTGACTGACTAAACATATGGCTTCAAAATGTATCCCACAAAATAGGTGCAGTGCTGAGAATGAGGAAGACAAAAAGGTCATCTCATTACAGTTGGATAAAGATCACCACGCTTTATATGTGGCATTCTCTAGCTGCGTTGTCCGCATCCCCCTCAGTCGCTGTGAGCGTTATGGATCATGTAAAAAGTAAGCTCGTGTTTCTTTACTTACCCCGGGTCTTGCAGCATCAAAACCTTTGATGATGAGAAAATCCGAGTTACATTCTGTTTGGTGTTATACAGGTCTTGTATTGCATCTCGTGACCCGTATTGTGGCTGGTTAAGCCAGGGATCCTGTGGTAGAGTGACCCCAGGGATGCTGTAAGTACACTTTCTCACGTGAGCTAGGATGAACTATCCTCTCCAGGGTCTCTAAAGCTAGAAATTGTGGAAAACTTCCAATTACACTACTTTTTCTTTCTTGCTTGCTTTCTTGCTTTCTTGCTTTCTTTTTGTTTTTTTGTTATGGAAGAAACAGGAAAATGAAAACCAGGAGATGTGAGAAGGAAGGGTATGATAATACTTAAGGGAAATGGTAGACCTAATAATACTTAAGGGAAATGGATGGAGAGAAAAAACCAATTCTATTCTGTTCTCTTAAACATTCTAGTTCACTAGTTTTTAACAGAAATAGCCATTTTAGCAAGTTATGTTAAAATGTTTAATTTTTTTTTTCTCTCTGCACATTCTTACTAATCAGTCTGTGTTCTTGGTTCTGCTCTGGTTGTCACTTGTGTTCCTATGAAGGCTGTTAACCGAAGACTTCTTTGCTTTCCATAACCACAGTGCTGAAGGATATGAGCAAGACACAGAATTCGGCAACACAGCTCATCTAGGGGACTGCCATGGTAAGACAGAATCTTCCATTCCCACCTGGAGCTTCTTTTTGACCACCTTTGCACGTGGACATTATTTTACAATCAGTCTTTTTAATGACTCAGGACACATACCACCTAGCATTTTAACTTAAACTTCGCAAAAGCTGAGCTGTTTGATCATGGGGATACATTAGAAAAGAGGCTTACTTTTTTTTCCTTCACCATTTACAATTTTGTAGGAAATCTAGAGAGAGATAGTCTAACCAGTAGGTTAATCTTTTTAATTTATAGTCTTTTTTTTTTTACTTTTTTAGTTAATTGGAATTCATGAATTTTTGCTTTCTTTTGGTTACTTTTCACTGATTACTTGTTCCTTTAATTCTTTTAGAAATTTTGCCTACTTCAACTACACCAGATTACAAAATATTTGGCGGTCCAACATCTGGTTAGTTTTTTTTAATTTTTTTGAATTAACAACCTTTTCTTTCCTTCAGTTCAGCATTTTCAGCCCCTTCTCCCCTCCTTTTGCGCAGTTTGGCAGCCCTTCATTTTTCCGCTTTGACTCATAATCCCACTGATGGTACCAAAAGACTTTTCTTACTGAGCACTTCACCCTTGTATAGCATGTTAACACTTCATCATTGACCAAGCCACATCCTTTAAGAAAATTCAAATGGGCTAACATAGACTGCATTCCAGCTGCACGCACGCCCACCCAAGCTTTCTTCTTTCTCACCTCTTTGCATTGTGAATGTTTCTTCTGGTCATCTGTATTTAATGGATGGCGGAATTTCATTATTTTTCCCCATCTCTCCTCACCTTTCCTATGACCTAGTAAACAAATACACATTTCCCATAAATGTGTATTTAAAAGTTTTAGAGATCTTTGAATGGTTTGCGCTCATCCTGCGAATCTTTGAATGTTGTGGTCTCGGTCGTGTGAAAAAGGCTTCAGTGGAATGAAGCTGATTTTTGATGTATTAAGATGTTCAGTGGGCTCTCCAAGCCTCTCTGTACCTGTTTTGGAACCTTCTTCTGTAATCGTTGCACCAGTCAGAATTGCAGTCTCTGAGGTTTTAGCCTAAAAGCGTAGGCTTACATTTTGAGGGAAAATCTATTTGGAGGAAATCAGTACTAGACATGCTAAAAGGTTAAGTTACTCCCGGTCCTATTGCTGCTTCTAAAACTCACCAGCAATTCCTTTCCTCAGGGGGAGAAAAAGATGGCAGACCTTATGTATCAGAATATCCTCGTTCAGTTTGTAAATGCCATTGCCTTTGCATTAGGTTCTGCTAACTCTTTGGAAGAAACTCCCCAGCAGTTTTGGAGAGTACAGGCAAAGTCTGTCCCTCCTTCGGTGTTTTACTGTCGGGGGCAGAGCCTCAGTGTAGTGAATAATCTACATATGGACAGGAGGCCACTAGTAACAACCTCTTAGGCAGAGCTGGTTTATCACATCCAAAATCAAGTCTCTTCATAGACTTAACCAGATTATTTTCCGACAAAATTCCATCATAGCTTCTTCCCCAATAAAGACTATAGATTTTCTAACCATCTGTGAAAGTGCTTTTTAGGATGCATAAAAAGAAATGAAATGATGTCTCACAAGAGAAGGAAGAAACAGCAACTAATCTGCCCTGGGAATTATATTACCTTTTTCATGAGTGTCATTAGTAACCACAGGGGCTTTCCTAAGAGCCTTTCGAGTATCTTTAATTTTGAAATCTGCTTAATATGTCTTTACTGTTAATTTTCAGTTTCATTCACTCCCTTGAAAGGAAAGAATTTGATGTAGCTTCCTCAGGCGTGTTTTTACAAAATCCTAGAGCAAACGTTCTCATGAAATTTACTCAAACTTTATTTAGAAATGCAACAGACCAATCAAAAAAATCTTGACATTATCCATATTAATAAAATCTGTTTGCCACCACAGACATGGAGGTATCTTCATCTTCTGTTACCACAATGGCAAGTATCCCAGAAATCACACCTAAAGTGATTGATACCTGGAGACCTAAACTGACAAGCTCTCGGAAATTTGTAGTTCAAGATGATCCAAACACTTCTGATTTTACTGATCCTTTATCGGGTATCCCAAAGGGTAAGGCCTCAGCAGGGACCTCATCTCTAACTGCATGGAAACCTGATCCTTAATATCACTGAGGAGTATGTGGTTCTCCAGAGGTGAGCCTCACTGGAGCTTCTGCGGTTGTACCTCCACCGCCCCTAGCCACAGTCTCTCTGGCTTTCTGTGGTTATATCTGAGTGCATTCCTTAAAAGATAAAAGAGGTGGAAAGCTGTTGGAGAAAAGGCTGCTGAAGCAGCCACTCAGACAATCTAATCTGTGTTGATTTCTGTCTGAAGAAGCAGAGAGCGTGCTGGATTTCAGGAAATTTCAAGGGTCACCGCAGCAAAAAACAAAACTCATTAATTGCAAATATCCTGATAGCAGATGTTTTGTCTAGGAACCTTTCCCAGCCTCTTGTTTAGCTTCCATTCAAAATGCAATCTGAAAAGGATATGTGAGATGCTAAGTTGCTTGAATGCCACAAGCAATAAAACATAACAGAATGCTTGTCCATAACTATCATTTTCAGCCCGTAATAGGAGCAGTTATAAAATAGCTGCCTGTTGAGTTAGCTTATTAGATATATTACTCTAGGAAAAAAAATCTATTCTTTAGTGCTTACTAAACTATGGTATCAGGTTTCCAATCAGTTTTTATGGCAGCGCATTGTCATTTATGATTTATATCGGTTGATTTTCATTTTATATGTTTTCGTTGTAAACAATTTTATAATCATTCTTCATTCTTCTTTCTGCTTTGCTTTCTTTAGTAATACCATTTTTTTCTCTTTTTCTTTCTTGGTCTTTCACAGTGCCACTGAATTCCATAACATTAATTAAACATTAATTAAAAACAACTAATGTTCAAAGGCCTTAGCACTAACTTAAAGCAACAGAATCTTCAAAATCACTCTGACTTACCTTACTCTGGGATAGCTGTGTTTATAGCATGTAACAGACTTGAATACCTCTTAAACTAACATTTTTTAATTAATTGTTAGATGTCTGTGGTTGCATTAAAAGATTAAGTTTAATTTCAATAATTATGAACTAATTTGCTCTTCTTTTTCTAGGTCTAATTTAAATATTTTCAAATATCTTCGGATAATTTGACAATTTTCTTAACTAATACGTAGTATGTTTCCTTAGACTGTCTGGATTTCTTACATAGTCGGTCATTCAAGAGTGCTTCACCCCAAGACGGAATGAAAAAAAAATTCAAGCAAACATGAAAGTCTCTTTTTATAGCTAATAGTGATCAAGCAGATATTTTTGGTTTGTGAACAAATTATGTGTTCTTATTTAAGTTAGTATAATTTTATTGGGATATTATTTTAGCATAATATATATTTATGCTAATTGTTACAGTTTCCTATATCCTAACAGCTGCCTTTTAATCCTGACTTAAGAGAAAATTATGCCACAAAACATATAATGAGTTTAAGGTTAGCTATTTAGAAACTATGCACTTCTAACTATTTTTTAGATCAAACTCTTAAACTTTCTAATATATAACAACCACTTATGAGGGATTGGAGGAAAAGAACAGAAGAATACAGATCAGTGGGAGATTAGAGTTATCCTGGCATTTGCAGCATTCCTGTATGTCTCTGGGGATCCTAGTTTGATTAAAGACAAAATATACAAGGAATTTTGGAGTCTACTTGACCCTCCAAGCTAAGCATACGAACCATGTGAAGGTCGTGTTGGCTCGCTGAAAGCCATTTGCTGTTTATTATTATTTTTAAAAAGCACCTCATTCACATGTCCCATATGTCTATTGCAGGTGTCCGATGGGAAGTGCAGTCTGGAGAGTCCAACCAGATGGTCCACATGAATGTCCTCATCACCTGTGTCTTTGCTGCTTTTGTTTTGGGGGCATTCATTGCAGGTGTGGCAGTATACTGCTATCGAGACATGTTTGTTCGGAAAAACAGAAAGATCCATAAAGATGCAGAGTCCGCCCAGTCGTGCACAGACTCCAGTGGAAGTTTTGCCAAACTGAATGGTCTCTTTGACAGCCCTGTCAAGGAATACCAACAGAATATCGATTCTCCTAAACTGTATAGTAACCTGCTGACCAGTCGGAAAGAGCTCCCACCCAATGGAGATACTAAATCCATGGTAATGGACCATCGAGGGCAACCTCCAGAGCTGGCTGCTCTTCCCACTCCTGAGTCTACACCCGTGCTTCACCAGAAGACCCTGCAGGCCATGAAGAGCCACTCAGAAAAGGCCCATGGCCATGGGGCTTCAAGGAAAGAAACCCCTCAGTTTTTTCCCTCTAGTCCGCCGCCTCATTCCCCATTAAGTCATGGACATATCCCCAGCGCCATTGTTCTTCCAAATGCTACCCATGACTACAACACGTCTTTCTCAAACTCCAACGCTCACAAAGCTGAAAAGAAGCTTCAAAACATTGATCACCCTCTTACAAAGTCATCCAGTAAGAGAGATCACCGGCGTTCTGTCGATTCCAGAAATACCCTCAATGACCTCCTGAAGCATCTGAATGACCCAAATAGTAACCCCAAAGCCATCATGGGAGACATCCAAATGGCACACCAGAACTTAATGCTGGATCCCGTGGGATCGATGTCTGAGGTCCCACCTAAAGTCCCTAACCGGGAGGCATCGCTGTACTCCCCTCCTTCAACTCTCCCCAGAAATAGCCCAACCAAGCGAGTGGATGTCCCCACCACTCCTGGAGTCCCAATGACTTCTCTGGAAAGACAAAGGGGTTATCACAAAAATTCCTCCCAGAGGCACTCTATATCTGCTATGCCTAAAAACTTAAACTCACCAAATGGCGTTTTGTTATCCAGACAGCCTAGTATGAACCGTGGAGGATATATGCCCACCCCCACTGGGGCGAAGGTGGACTATATTCAGGGGACACCAGTGAGTGTTCATCTGCAGCCTTCCCTCTCCAGACAGAGCAGCTACACCAGTAATGGCACTCTTCCTAGGACGGGACTAAAGAGGACGCCGTCCTTAAAACCTGACGTGCCACCAAAGCCTTCCTTTGTTCCTCAAACCCCATCTGTCAGACCACTGAACAAATACACATACTAGGCCTCAAGTGTGCTATTCCCATGTGGCTTTATCCTGTCCATGTTTTTGAGAGGATGATGTTGTAACGGTACCTTAAAACAAGAGACTTGCTTGTATTTTAAGAGAACCAAGTGGCCAAAGAAACTCTTTCTAACTTTGGCAACATCAGAACTTGCCACATGTAGCTACTGCAGCAAGGCTTCTGTGTACTTGCCTGAAAACAAAGGAAGGTGCTGGTCATTCCATTTCTTTTGTTTGAAGCTAAAGAGATGTGTAGCTCCCAGGGGCTACCTTACCAGTATAAAGAGCTGATAACAGTACTCAGAAGAATCTGTGAACAAATACTTGAAAATGGGTTCAATGTTGACTGCCATTATGTGTGGTCTTCCCATTAAATGTGAACGTTTTAATATGTATGCATTCACCTTGCCTCTTGCACAAATGTCAAAAAAAGATGGTAATGTCTCAAAGAAATGAACTTGTAGATTACCACGCAGTTTGCTAAAAATTCAATCTTTGACCCAAGCTGTAGCATTTTTTTTTTCATGTGTGGCATTTTTTTCATGCCACCAACAAACTTGTTGCGTGTGTGTGTGTGTGTGTTTGTGTGTGTGTGTGTGTGTGCTGTACCCACTAGGATTTGTTTAGGTGCCCATTGCATCTTTTTGTGCTATGGAGTTGTTTACATTGAGCATGACTGAACGAGAGACAATACTACTTCCCACAGGAGTCCATTGGGTTCAGCTTTGAAAGAGGAATAGAATCGAGGCTCCTTTGACCATCAAAATGATGAACTTTACTTATGTGGTACCCAATGCCAGAATGTAAGAGTTGCAAGTGATTTTGTGCTGCTATTCATTAAAACTTCTATTCCAGTCTTGCCAGCTTAAGGAGATCAAGATATTAAGAGGTATCCTTGATTTATTTTCCAGTATTCAGTAGTAAAATTTTCCTGTCCACTGTGAATCAAAGCCTGAGTCACTCTATTTAACCTTAGACACATTAATAAGGTTTTATTTTTATTGTGTTTGGTTTTTTCCCGCATAGTAAAATTTCTCCTCCTTTAACTCCTCCTACCCCCCAAGGTAAAAAACAAAAAACAAACAAACAAAAAATAGAAGACGAAAGAAAGACATATGAAAGGAATTGTAATTGGCTTAACAGAAACAGTCTGTGAAGACTAACAGTGGTGCAATCATGTTGTCTGTGTTGTGTTATGTGAGAATTTTCTCCTAAGTCATGCAGGTAATGACAATATACTGTAAATACCACATGTGAGTTTACCTGAATCTGTGCATTTTGTGCCTTATTCATGAGAATGATAGAAGTACTAAAATCTGTCAAGTGTTTTCAGTATAGCACATTATTTACTGAGTGCCAGTTGTAAATGTTTTTCAACCAGCACCTGAAAAAGACTCTTCAAAAAATCACAGAAACAATCTAGAACAATTAATTGTTAACATAATCCAACCTCAGAGCAGCATTACATTCTTTGCCATGATAAACATTCCACTCCTGCTTTCCTAAGGATGAAACAGTGATAATGTGAACTCAAATGAGGTTTCCTGGGTAATGTGACACCTGCAGAAACTATAGAGCGTCATTTATACGTAGTTTGGCAGAAACCACTTACAGTTGATGATGCGCAACCCTGCTGACTGTTTCAGTTAATATGCTGCAGACCACACAGTTGTTTAGTGAACCAAATCTAGAAAGTACCAAGGCAGAGGAATGCTCCTGCTGTAGTCAGGCAAATGAGTTCAACTGGATTTCTTTTGACAATACTGTTGGTACCTATTACTTTGGGGAGGACAGGTTGCAGAAGACCAGATCATTTTTATACAGAATGTGAAATACTGATACAGCTATTCTTTTTTTTTAAAGAACATTGTTTTATAAAGAACATGATTTCCAGTGATCTCTGGAGGCGCTAAAGCTAAAATTTCTGTTCTTGAAACACTTCAGCTTTGCAACTAAAATATTACAGATTAATAATAAATTAAACCAACCAATGATAAACACTACTCAGTCCACCAACAACAAACGTGTTTGAATTCACCTTACCAATATTAATCCCAGCGTGTGTAAAACGAAACAGTAACTCTATGTGACCCCAGATAACATTTTGTAACATTGTACTTCCTTGTAGTTTGTAATGTGAGTTCAATCAGTATTTATGTTGAAATTTCTAACATGAAATCTAGTCTCTATCCTGTTAATTTAATTTTTAAATGCTTTATCCATTTGTGCAAAGGTAAACGCAGATTGTATCTTTTTTAATGGTACGGCATAAAAAGTAACCCTCAAGTGAAGTGGCTCTATACTGTTTTATAGAGTACTTTAACATGTATAGATATCTTGTAAACTTGTATTGTGGATGTGTAAATAATACGTACTTTGGGTTTTTAACACCGCATGTAAAGTCAAAATAAAATATACAAATCATTATATCTTGCCTCTTGATATTGAAGAGGTTTACAACATATTAAATTTTTTAAATATTTTCAAGTCAATCAACACTGGTAAGAGTTGCTTTTAAAATCTGCCAAAATATTCTTGGAACAGTTGCTCTCCAGTCATGGTTGCACTACCATTCTCTCCTTGGAAGGCTGGTACTGAAGGTCAGAGCCCCTGAGAAAAATGAGAAACTGCTCAGAAAACCAGCTGAACTGTACTGCATCAACAGTCAGACGCTTTAGGCAAACAGAGGTGGTTCACATTATCCATAGATCTATCTAGTTCCACAGACATTTTTAAAATTCATGATTTGTTTTCCTGCATGAAATATTTCACATAATTTCAGTTCAAAATTATAACTGGCAAACAGGGTTCCCGTGAACATTTCTTGCAATTTGGTATAAGGAGTTTCTCAGTTCCCTTGTTTTAAACAAATAGAATAAATTAGGAGCTATCTAAATATCTAAATATTGAAATGGAAGGTAACAACATGATTCTACAGCTCTTTCTTAGCACCTAATGAGTTGGTGGCTGCTGTCATTGCTTCTCATGGATATTGACAGTGGCAAGCCACTTCTGAGAAAGACAACAGGGGTGCTTGTAGGAATCCCTGCCCTTTTGGTTCTAGCTGCTACTCCTGGCCAAAGCCCATCTGCAGCTCCCGTGTGGTCATGTTTTCTCAAGGACCTTCAGCAGCATCTTTGCTGAACAGCAGAATGGCCATATTCCTGTCTCAAGTATTACTCTCCCTGATAGTGTCATCTAATTAGGGGTGCTGCATTTCAGTATAATTTAGTGGTATCAGAAGTCCTCGTTTATTCCTATCATGGCATGCAATACTCCAGAGACATGAGGAAAAATTTGCAGGAATCCTTTTGTGAGAGAGAAAGACCAGTGGATGACCTATTTGCCCCATTTCACAGCTCCCAGTACCACAGGTTGTGCCACCAGCCAGAGAGCCTGACCTCGGCCTTCCAAATGACCCCATCATTGGCAGGAAGTCTGTGTAAGTCTGCACACCATTATAGCGCTGGAGAAGAGGGTGGAAGGTGTCTCCTATCTCACTGACTTGCCAAAGTCAATTTGTAACTCAGATTTTGAACAAACGGATGAAAGAAGACACAAGGGAAATGCATCTTCAACCTTGTCTTGCTCTGTCGCCCAGGCTGGAGTGCAGTGGCAGGATCTCGGCTCACTGCAACCTCCACCTCCCAGGTTTGAGCGATACTCCTGCCTCAGCCTCTCGAATAGCTGGGATTACAGGCACCCGCCACCATGCCCAGTTAATTTTTGTATTTTTAGTAGAGAAGGGATTTCACCATGTTGGCCAGGTTGGTCTCGAACTCCTGACCTCAGGTGATCTGCCCACCTCAGCCTTCCAAAGTGCTGGGATTACAGGCATGAGCCACCACATGCAGCCTCCTCCTAGGCTTCTTTAGCATTGCATTATCACTCATTTGCATTGCCTGTTTCCATTAACTTTTAGTTAATAGGTGTTTATTATACCTACTGCCTGTTTACTAGTTTTTCTGAGTTCAGCGACTTTTTTCTCTTCTAAAAAATGCACCTTTCTTTTCTCCCTTATAGAAGTTCTTAGCCTTATTCCATCATAGACATTTTTGATAATTTAATGAATGCTATGGACTGAAAGGCGCATTTCCCTTTCCTCTCCAGGACATTTACAGTCCCCTAAAATCACATCTGTGAATCCTCAAGATAAATGCTCAGATCCCATTTGAGAGACATAGGGTAAGGGAACTTGGGATTTTTTTTCAAAGGGAGCACATAAAACCAGAGAGTAATGGGACAAATACAATAAACTAACCAGGACAAGGCACTGTGCTCTGGTTCCAGAAATTCCATCGACTAAGCACTTGGTTACCCTGGGAAGGGGCAACTTTGAAGCCAGATGCAACACTTGAAATGCTGATACAGGCTAAGAAGAGAGGGCATCTCTTCTTCTGCCAGGTAGTGTCATGATGACCCAGGTGCTGGTCTGGCACCAGGAGGACTCACCCTCCTGCCATCAGAGAGAGATCAACTTTCTCATCTTCTCCCAGCTGGTCTCCTTCATCTGCTTGTCGGAGGAGGGAAAAGAACAAAGTGTCCAAAGCAGCCCTAGGTCCAGGTCCAGGGAGCTGAGTTCTAATCCTCACCCCATCACTCATCTAGTGATTAAGGGCACTCCACCTCTCCTGACTTTGGTAAAGAGATGATTTGACATCCATTTCTCTGACAGTTCTATGGTCTCTGTCAACTCTGCAATTCTATTATTTTATGAATGCTATGCTTAACTATTACAAGTTCAATAGCTTGGTTGGTAGTATGTTTATGGATGCATGAGGCCTGCTTCCTGTTAGATATAAGATATATGTGAGATTAACAATAAGTTATGACAAACAGTGCACTTTAAGCCATTTACCTTGGATCTACTAATATATTTGACGTTTACACTTTTTGCATATATAACATGTGAAACACTTAAATCTCTGCCAGTGTTGCATTTTTTATCAAGTAGATGTGATATCATAAACAAAGAAGAATGGAACTATAATAAAATCAATCTTTAATTCTTGAGGGGATGGAGGGTGCAAGGCTAGAGGGGGAGGTAATGTCTTGGTCATTCAAATAGTGAATCAACTAGAATTCATATGTAAAGAAAAATAGCATATTTTTAGCCCCTGTCTTATAATATAATTCTTTTTAAAAATTAGGTATTGATTACTGGTTGATAAATCTCATTTTAACATGCACTTGAGTACACTTAGCCTCATATGCAGGGTTTGGGTAAAGGATGAAAATACAGCGTTATATATGCGCTGTTACTTGTGAGCGTTCGTTAGTGTGAGATGGACCTACCCAATGCTACTGTAAAGACTGACTTCCGACCAGTTAGAGCAGTGGTAAGAAGGACAATTTGTCAGTGTCAAGCAGCCCTGTGCAGTGGAATGTTCCATGCTGATGGAGGTTCTAAATCTGTGCTGTACAACCTAGTAGCTTAGCGTATGTGGTTACTGAGTATTTGAAATGTGGCCAGTATTTGTGAGGACTTACTACACTGGGCAAAGCCATCTACAAGGCCACCCCTGCTGCTGCACCACTGTAAGAGGTCAGGCTGTGGCTCTGAATACAGCAATTCCATGAGGTATTTAACTCTGATTAAAAGATAAGACATGCCTTGTACATTTTGTGTATCTACCCTGGGGCTTCACAGAGAGTTGAGCTCACAATTGATCACCCAATCAATCACAGATCTAGTTTGAGGTCTGTTTTCTGATTTAGAAACTATAATAAGCACATCCATTGACTGCTAAAAAGCATCAGTGCTTGGCTTATGTGGACAGACTTCTCTTACATTTTCCTGGTGCTTTTGAGCCCTATTCAGTTAATCCCCAACATGCCTTTTTTTTTCTTTTTGAAAGGGATAAGATTGTCATTCCCATTTTCAAGGTACAGAAATTAAGATGAGTGTGAGTGTGACAACTGTGGACATGTAAATGACAGTCAGTTCAAAAATCAGGGCTAATTCACATTCTTACACTCATGCCCGATGCACAAGCTAACACCCTCTGCGAGACGATTGAAAAGGGAGTATCGGTGTTCAATCAGTGAGGATGGCCTCTCTCCAGCACTTCATGTATAATGAGGAGAAACAAAAAAGGTAGAATAATTACAGTATCCAGGAATACGTGCCAAACTTCTAATGAAAAACAGAACATTCAGTGACATCAGTCGCATGCTGAGCCATCATAATGAACATGCCAAATCAATTATTTGAAAAAACAATCCATGGGCTGAATTGACAAGGTGTAGGCTGAAAGCAACCAAAAGGATGCATTCAGAGATGCTACAAGAAACTAACTTGATGTGTCCAAATGGTACCCATCTAGGTTTCCGGGCATCTTGCCAGATCTACACCTGCGGACTGGCAGAGTCTCTGGGGAGAATTTGTTTATTTCTTACTTTGCAATTTCTTCATATTGAGCTGTGGTTGTATATTGGGAGTTAAACACAGTTACAGTTTTTCCACTGCTCCCTATGGTTGGGAGATCTTTAGGAGTCGGACTATCTTAAAGAATGTTTTCTGATCATTTGAGCTGCCTAGCCTTTTGTGAGGCATTAGAGTAAGCACACAAAAAAAACATCTGTTGAAGAAACAAATTTGGTAATCGCCCCAGCATCTTACCCTAAGTCAGGTGGCAGGGCCTTGCCAGACATTTGCAGCTGTTAATGCTAATAAGCATAGTAAAAGCATATAGACCTTCTTAGCATTTGCAAATCAGGTTTTTAAATAAGAGGATTATAGCATTCTTTAACCATTCTCAAAGGAGCATTCCATGGGTTTGGGAGACAGCTTTGGAAAGTATAATAAAGAAATGGAACCCTTGGAGCACTTTTGCAAATGTGAAAGTTTAGAGAGTTTTAGGGAGCATTTGGGGTATGAATTAGGCTCCAAAGTTCAATGACATCTCAGGTTCAGAGACAGAGTCAGGCAATTTGGAGTTTTGTTGGTCTGTATGTTACTGGAGTGACTCATAAAATTGAGATCAATTCTTAAGATTTAATCTGACCTGATGATAGCCTCTTCTGGCTGCCCAGTTAAGGCTTCACCCTGAAAAATTCCATCGGTTTTTCAGGACTTACTAAACTATTATTTCCAACTACCTATGGAACTGACACTTCATAGAAGTAGAAATGATTGACATCATGTGGTCTGCTTAATTTACATGAATATCATAAATGAGAGAAAAGAGCAAAACACTAAAATGGAAGAAAATAATAGAGTTCAAATTATTTTAAATATATGTACATATATAGGAATATAGAAAAAAAATACAAAAATATTAAAAACTGCTTAGAATCATTAAAACTGACATATTTTGAAACATGCTTCATTCAACCACATTTTTGAAAATTCTCTGTACATTTTTATTCTAACTTTGTTTTAAAAAGGAAAAAAAAAAATCCTGGAAACAGCCCCTGACTTTGTTTA